TCTAAACGCTAACCATCGGCTATTCGCGGCCTGCATCATCATAAGACACATAAATGATTTTGTCACTAAATCTTAAAAGAAACTTACATTTTCATCTGAAAACCAATGTTCCTTTCTTAGTGCAGCTTTCCACATGGTCAATGAAAGCTTGTCACTTGGAGGCTCTTCTGCGCATTGTGTTTTAGTTACCGCGTATAGCACTATGTTTCGCATGCACTTCACTGTTTGAATGAAATCTGGCGGATCGCATCGTTATATATTCATTTGCTTCGTCGGAAAATAGACAACGACCACTTATTCCAAATACTTTTTTTGACGTCGAACTAGTTTGAGGTGTTGACCATGCCATGATTTCCTGATAAATGTGTTGTATAATGCCTTGATTCACTATATACACGATTAGCAAATGCTGCTTGATCACGTTGGGCAAGCTACTTTACACCTGTGTCCTCATTCCGGATGGGGAACAATCTTAGCAATGTTCAGTGTGACGTTTTAAGTTCACCTCGGATACTATTTTTGCTGTAAATTGACGTTATCTCAAAAGACGTATCATATGAGCACATGAAAAATTATACTAGTTGGAGAAAAAACCTTTAGCCCATTTTACAAAGGAGGATTTTTTCCCAGTCTCTTAATGTAGGAATAGCTATCAGAAGTAGTCGTAGGTTGATCTCACTGGGTCGTGCTCTCTGTCAGCTAAAGTAAAAACATTAAAATTTGATACACATATAATCATTATATATAATCACCTTTTTAATGATAATCGTGATACAAGGGTAGCATAAGTATAAGGCGCAAAAGACAAGTAATCATTACCATGAACTTATGTCACTGCCAAATATAGCACAAAGAGCGGGAAATAGGTCAAATAAAGCTCAAAAACTGAGTAATAGTTACTTTGGAACCACTCGCAMGAATGGTTATGTCAATCATTGTTATACCGTATATGGTGAGCTAGCTCTGGTTTATAAGGCTTTGGGGCTAGAAGCGGGAAATTCAAAAGCTTTTCCGGCCTCTAAAGGGTAATCAACAGAAGCGGAGAAGAGAGAACATTCGACAATTTCTTCGACTCCACTTCTTTATGAGTTTGGATTTCTAACCTCATATCCAAAACAGACRAATGAACTTTTYATATGGTGAGTTTTTCTTAATAGCCAAGGATTTTACAACCATTCTTGATTCCATATTTGGCGGGAAAAATGTGAATTAGTTGTTTTGCTTTTCCRCTTGTGATATTTGATCTAACTTATATGTTCATATTGATTGCAAGTTGTTAAAACGGGAAAGAGAAGATGAGCGATTCAGAATCAGATCCCGATCGTTCAGTAAGTTTTTTGTTGAAATTTCATGCCAACTGTACTTCGAATATCAATTCAATTTATGACTTAAATCTACAAGGTGATGATAGACGAGGCTTCAAGATGGCACGCTACCTGCTCATCAGGCGAGAGTACAGATGAAAATGAACGGGAAACAGTGGTACGAAATAACATACTGTATACATATTTATTTCTTTATATACAGCTGGGCTTAACACATTTCATTATAGGAAAAAGCACTACAGAGATTTCGCTCTTGTCAGCAAGAGCTGAAATCATCGATTGCAAGACAAAAAAATCTATCTCGCCGAAAGCGGAAAAGCAACAGTGTAAGTTTGCGTATACAATAAAACATTTCAATAACTGAATAAGTTATAAATGTATTTTTGTTCTTTTTCGAAGAAACCACGTCATGTTCGCAGATCAAAAGCACTAGAAGAAACTCAAATTAAGAAGGTGCTTTCACTGCGGTGTTGTAAGAAAAACACCTGTTTAAAACAATTTGAGACTGGCGAAGTTATGAAGTGGAGGACATCCTTCTGGGAACAGTCAGAAGACCAACAAAGGCAGTTTCTGTTGACTGCTTTCTCGCTAAATATGCACTATGGAGAAAATCAGATACGAAAGTATAACTTCAGTATTTATGGGAAATCAGTATGTCATAACGCGTGGTATAAGTTACTGGGAATTTCTAATGGATGGTAAGATATCAATTGTGCTTTTGCTTTATTGTCTCAAACAAAGTGCGAAAATGAAATTCTTTTTGTTTAATTGCGTGCGACACTGAACGTAAAAGGTTGATATTAATTTCATTTTGACTTAAACTTAGGTTTTATGGTTTGCTAAAAGAATACGACGAGGGAAGAATTTCAGGACAAAGCAACCGAAGTGGGATTACTTGGATGTCTGCGTAAAAAAAAAAAAAAATGCGTAAAGCTATTGCATGGCTTAAAAGTATGTTTGCAAGTAACAGGTTACAGCACTGAAGATTAAGAAGTTTCGATTAGATCACTTTTAATGCGGTTTCTTTTAGGGCATGTGGAAAATCATGGCGACAGAATGCCGAATGAAGACAGAATTTGTTTGCCAAGTTGTCAAAGCAAGAATGAGCTCCACAATCTCTATAAGAAAGACTGCTTGGCTAGTAAGACGGWGTACATAGGCAAGTCAGCTTTTAAAAGCATGTGGAGGAAAGTTTAATTGAAGTAATGGACTGAAAAATTATTGCCAGAAACATGAAAACGTTACTAATAAACAACAACAACAAAGAAAACCCTACAGCAAGAATGTCAAATGCCCAAAGGAATTGGTGGGGGTCATTTATAAAGCAACAGCAAAAAACAAAAGACATGTGGGACGCGATGACTCAAGCTGAAAAAGATAAATTACCTAACATTGGTAAATTCAAGGAGGACAGTGAACCACAGCTGTCTGAAGAAGCTTTGAGACAGCGAGATTAATTGAATAGATTAGAGCAGAAACAGTGCAAGTTTCCCAGGGTAAGGTTCAAAGATCTTACAGACCATTCTAACTGAAAATTCGATTGAATTAGTAGTTACCTGAGATTTGAATTTAGAACTGGCATTGAATTTCAGCAATTACCTGAGATGTAGATGTCCTACGTAAAAATCTCCAAACCAGACCTTATCATTATATACATATGTAGTATTTATGTTCTTTTTTCCTTTGTTGTTGTTCCTGATTGCGATCATTGTTACATTAATTTTCTAGATCATAGCAGGAAAAAACACTGAAAAGACGGCAGATAAAAAAGCCAAGAGAAGAGGAAGGAAAAGAAAAGAAACAAGAGAGCAAGAAACTGATAAGGAAAATTCTGAACCGAAAAAGAGAGGAAGACCCCGAAAGACAAAACAGTAGAGATTAGTTAAAATAATAATATTAATTCCTTAGTATCATAACAGTTTTCATCATCTAGATATCTTATGCGAATTTGATCACCGCTAAATGTGAAATGACTTTGAAGTCATTGCTTGATCTTGGAAAGTAAATCTGAATACGATTCATTGCAATTCATGAAGAACAATCCACATTTTGAAAAGTGTTCTCCGTAAAAGACTTTCACGTGGTATTCCGCCATCTTACGCAGCAAATGCCTTTTTCTAATATCACGTGACCTTTTGGGATATACCTTTAATTCCACTGATAGCATTTGGATTATCTTCTCTAATAGCGTAATTTCCGCAGCATCACGTCTAGCTGAAAACATAATTAAGAAAACAACCCTTTTTGGGGGGAGGGGGCTTGATTTTTAGCCACTACGCAGGCTGAGTTATTTTTTTTCTATTGCTTTCAGATAAATAAATTCACGACTACAAAAACTCTCGTTCAGAGTCGTTAAAACTTCATTATTGACATTGCCCCTATGATAAAAATGGGAAATAAAGACCAATAGACCCGATATAGTGGTGAAGAATAAGAAAGAGAAAACCTGCTTGCTTTGGCTTGTCCGGAAAGGCTGACGGCGAGATAAGCGGCTTTTCGTCGTTATTCCAGCCGTTATTTCGGAGACCACTTCAAACTGGGCCTCGTAGTCTTCTCATGCATTATCCCTTCATACGTAGCAGGTTGGACTCGTGGATTTTTGAGCTGAGATTTGTTTTCGACATCGTCCCCTTTCAGTGGCGTCAATAATATCAGTGTTACTAGATATTCTCTGCTAATTCACATTTAGCAAGAGCTCCGAACTGTTCATCGTATTTAAGTTGGCTTCCGGTGGACCCTTATAACTGTTTTTGATTTGAAAAATGTCTTTTATTAATTGAACATTCAACAGAAAGTATTGCAACTGTGGTGCATGAATTCATTTTCATTATGTATAACATTCAGTTGCTGTCTAAAAAATGTATAATGTGTATGATGTATGTAGAGGGTACTGTCCATTCAATAATTTATAATTTACCTTCATCCATTCAAAAGTGGACATTTTTTTAACGCTCATCCCTTTGTCATCCATGTTAAGGATATTTGACAAGTAGGCTGTTGAGTTAACTACAACTTGATATCAGGGGTGGATGGAGACATTTAAATTTTTTTATACATTTTATAGTCTGCACCGACTAAACATGTTTACATTTATCATTCAATACTATTTATAATATTCCTATTTATATTGTAATTATAAAGAGGAAAATTTATCAAACATACAAGTAATATAATTGAGATAAAAATAAGTATCGTGCTCGTGTCGTGTGGAAAGTAGAAAAAAAAGAGGATAACAAAATCGTCAACTTAAAGAATATAAAGTGTTTAAACAATAATCATTGCTTTCATAATTCGGCTATTTTCTTAAAAACAATGGCAACATGACAAGGATACAACCATCATATTTTTTTGCCTTTTTCTTACTAAAATATTTTTTGAATTTTCTGTCTCTGAAGTACTTCTGTCAAAATAAAATGAAAAAGAACATGTTTGTTTAATTTGAGTAATGAATTAAAGTCTTAGAATAAATCAGAATTATTGATCAGAATATGTAGGAAAATATTTCTGTATCCATTATTTTCAATATCTTAAAAATTCGTTGCGTACGCGTCCCCTGGTAAGTCCTAAAAAATGTGAAACATAAATACTTCTTATAATCTCCTTTATGCATGGTCCCTCTAAATTAATTCGATGTTCAAATATCGTACGAAGTATTATCGTAAGAAGTATTATAGTTAAATATTTAAAATGCGGCAGCTTGTGAAATTATTTAACCAATGAAATGGGTTCAAAAATCAACATCACAAAACATCGCATGTTTACGAGCTTTTATCAAAATCGTGGCACTTAACTAGAAGCTCTCACTAACATTTCCGTAAAGTACTAATGCCAGTTGATACAAAACAAGAAAATCTTTCTGCTCTGCACTTTTAAGAATGCAGTTAGCATTCGAACTTGGTGAAATTCTAGATTGTGTCAAAATATAACAGAGTTTGCGGACAACTAAATTATTCAATCATGACACACAAAATTAACTTATTACATGCAAAAATGAGCATATTTATTGATATAAGTTTGAACCAATTAATGTTTCTGCACCGATAATGAAAACTTATAACTGATATTTACATCTTTCTCAGAACAAGATTAGACTGCTACTCACCATCACTTAAACTATCGGCAGCATCTTTCGACCGTTTTTTTCTCCCAGAAAAAAACTTGCTCCTCTGGTATTCCTTCACATTATCTGATGGCTGATGAGTCCTATGTGTGAAAGGCACACCCGTCCAAAGTGACTGCAGGGTAGTGTTGAATCCGGGGTTGGAGCTGTGGCAACACGTTTCTTCCTCCTTGCAACACTTTTCCACAAGGTGGTCTTCAAAGGAGGAGATTTGATTTGTGGACAGTGCGACGCCAGTCACAGTCGATGACTTTAAAAAAATCGTTAATGGAGTTCCTATCCAAGACGATATCGTCTGCTCTTGATGTAGTCCTTTTCAATGTGGTATTTGAAAGACCAACCACTTTCAATTGTTTTGCAACAGCAGGTAACTGGTGTTCCCGGCCATTCTTCGATGACATAGGTTCTATATGACCCACTCTTTTCACTTTTGCCTTGTCCCCAAATTTAGAAATTGCATAGTTTTTAAAAACGCTGTGTCTATATGGCCGGTTACCGGTCAAGGTCTTCAAAATGCTAAATGGCCGGCAGCCCATAAAATGTGTTTTTTCCCTCTCTTATTATCTAAACGAGCTTCAAACTCCAAAATAAAACTCTATGAGTAAAATGAGTGTGTTAAAACTTACATAAACGTCGCGCCGACATTCGTTGCACTTAAAGACATTGTGCGAACTTGAACCGACTGCCGGCCACGCAACAACGAAATCCTAAATGGCTGGCAGCCCATAAAATAACAGATTTCTCTTTTATTATTCTTATTCAAAGAATTAAAACAACATAATCAACATTTCTGAAACTTTCATGGTACTGTATAGACATATTTCTATTCGAGAAAAATCTCAACCAACACGGCSGAYTGCCGGTCACGCAACATCAAAATCCTAAATGGCCGGCAGCCTATAAAATAACAGATTTCTCTTTTCATGCATCTTTTATTATTCAAATTATGATAGACCTTAGAAAGAACACACTCCAGAGTTTCGTGTTGAGCTTTTACTGCTGACTAACAGATAGAATACACCCTTGCGGGATCATATTACAAAGTCATGCAATTACATAATGATTAACTGGGATATCGTCACACACATAAGGCCTTTCGTCACAAAAATCAGGAATTTATCGAAATTGCTTTTTTTCCCGCAGAAGTGCGTGCTTAACACTAAAGTCTAGATTTAATAAAAAATAATAATTACTCCAAATAAGCGATTAGGTGCACTTCAAAGGTCAACGGTAAATATCAAAAACTGTAGTCTGTTGGATTAGTTTGATGTGCTCAACATGTCATTTGCATGCTTAAGTCAACATAATAGCCCCACTCCATCTGACACAAAATTTTAATCTATTAGTTCCTTTTCTTTGGATAGGTTTTTGAGTGGCCTCCTTAAATTTTAATCTATTAGTTCCTTTTCTTTGGATAGGTAGTTTCGGAGCCTCCTAAGAAATAAATCACCACTTCAAATGTCACTTGTAACCTTAATGTGTAGGAACTGAGCATTTTCTTTCATTTTCTGGAGAAATAATGAAAAATATAAATTAACGAGAATGAAGGTTAAACTGCTGAAAGAAAGAGAATTGAATGTGAGGGAGGCAATGAAAACACACACAGAATGGAGGAATATACATATCATCTATAGAAATATAAAAGTAACCGTAATTCAATATCCACCTTAATGTAATGGATTAAACCATTTAAATCAACCCCAACGTTAATCTTCCCATTAATGCATATCGGCGATGGCCGGTATCTATTCAAGGCAAATACCTGCAGAGGAAGCATATCTTATTCTCAAAGTATTCAAGTTTTCAGTTTTGTTTTGAAATTGTATTAATTTTTGCATTTGGAGCAATCAATTACAATTAAGTGGTGCCGTGAAAGAACAATTCTTGATAGTTGGGGCAATTATGTAGCATACTCCAAAGAGCACTAACCTCTTGTTGTAATGTAATGCATTTCAAAATCCAGTGATTCAGACCTCAACTTGTGAATGTTGGATTATTGTTGTCACCACTTTGTTAAATACCTTCAATTTTACTATTGAGTGAGTTAATCCACTTTGTTAAATATCTTTCATTTTAATGTATTAGTTGCTTTTCTTTGGATAGGTTTCTGAGCGGCCTCCTAAGAAAGAAATTGCAATTTCAAAAATTTCCCTTGTAACTTTGATGTATACCAGCTGAGCATTCTCTTTCATTTTCTGGAGAAATAATGAAAAATATAAATTAACGAGAATGAAGGTTAAACTGCTGAAAGAAAGAGAATTGATTGTGAGGGAGGCAATGAAAACACACACAGAATGGAGGAATAAGAAATTAAGATACTGATTAGTTCAATTTCTTTGGATAATGGGCAGTTTCGGAGCCTCCTTAGAAATGACTTAAAACTTCAAGTAGACCTTAATTTGTAGTAAATGAGCGGCATTTTCTTTCATTTTCTGGAGAAATAATGAAAAATATATATTAACGAGAATGAAGGTTAAACGGAGGCATATGGAGGAATATACATATCATCTATAGAAATATAAAAGTAACCGGAAGTCAATATCCACCTGAAGGCAATGGATTAAACCATTTAAGTTATGATTGGCTCCAACATGAATCTTAGTCCCCATGATGTATATGGGGGAAGTGCTGTAAGTATTCAATAATACAACAATAATGCATTGCGATCTTGGAATGTACTATACAGTATTCAGTATTCAAAATTGTTTGAAATAGGTTTGAGTTTCTGGATGCARCAGAATCATTAAACTATGCCCTCAGATATTGAATATTAGCTTGCAGTGCTGTTAATTTGACCTGACGCCATTTGATTAAATATTTATGCATAAAAAAATTGATGTTTACAAGACTCGTTTTTAGATCAAAACTCGGATGGCTGAAAAAAGGCAGTTGAAAATGCATTGATTCAACTCATGTAGTAGCACGACCTGAATCACCAACTTGCTCTATTTTATGTGTTTTGCTTTATTAAATACTAGTAGATATTTGGGAATAAATTCGATATATACTCGAAGACTACATTCGCGATAACGGGACCTAGAAAAAAATAAAGGTATCACAGTAGTTCCGCTTTCGATTCWGCGTTGTCCCTCCTATCACCTTTTGTACACATAAGTGGCAGGGAAGAGTGTTTGTGCGCTATCTACTAAATTTTTACACGGAAGTGCTGCGATTGGTACTAAATATCCTATTACTGCACAATTTGTACGCTTATCAGCATTTCTATCGCCGGCTTCACCTTATATTACCAGTGACGGATCCAGGATTTTTCAAAGGGGGTTCCACTTTGTTTTCGATTTACATTGCAACCATGTGGTAAAAGTGTTATATAAAGCCGCTCACCTATTGTAAGATATAAGGCACCTTCACTCTTCTCGGATGCGTTTTCATTTTATTTCATTTATCATGTATTTTTTTATTCTTGAGGGGGGGGAGGGGGGGGGGCTGGATTCGGCACTTTATTACTTAGTTATATTCGACATAATTTACATGAAAAGCTATAATCTCGCAAGCACTCACGCTAAATCTTTACACATGACCGCCTTCGTATATCCCTGGATAATTTCCTGGCGACATTTTCCGCTTCATTGATTCGGGCSGAAGCGCGAAA